CAAGCAGCAACAGCTGGAAGGCAGAACCGGACAGTAGCCTGAAAAGTTCATTCATTTATTTTATGAAAGATTTATAGAATAATGGCTGACTTTTTGCCAGACTTTGACTTTGTGGAGGAGGAATTTGATTTTACAGAGTTTGATGGCCGCCCTTATTTATCTGAGCCAGAATACACTGACGAAGAGCTTCGTGAAATTGAAGAATGGAGGAGGAGAGAGAGAGAGAGAGAGGTGCAACAGGTAGAGGACGAGAGAGGAGGAATGGCTGCTGCAAGGCTGCGTAGCTCTGGAGATTGGTGGTGTACCTGTGAATGCTGTGCCCCAGTGCCCACAGAAGAGGAATGCCTCTGTTACAAGGAATGGGACCGGTTGCAGCCTTATTTTCAAGGTCTGGATGTGACCGAGGATGAGACACGTCCACCTGGAGTAGTATCCAGCTGGGCTTTATCTAGAGCTCGCGAGATATATTTTGTCCACGCTTTGGAAAGCAGAGCTAGATGGTAAACAAACATGGCAGCACACCGGTAAGGTAAGACAACACGTTAACATGTCGTTTTCTATATGTTCTCTGACATTTATCCTAACGATATGAGGCGGTCTTTGTGGAAAAAAGCTTGTTTAGTGGACTAACTTTGCACTTGAAGGTTGCCCGTTCAATTACGTTTTAACATGTCTGACACTACTATGCGCCCTGGCTGTATCTAGGCTAACGGCTAACATGCTAACTATTATTTTTATGTCACTAGTCACTTGAAACAAATTTAGGACCATAGGAGACAGGTTGAAATAAACTGAAAGTTCCCTTTAATAAACCCAGACAGTCGGCAGCTCGCCTGGTGACCCAGTGATCCTAAATGCCAACAGAGAGTCCCACCACAAGCTTCCTCTTTTTATGAAACACTGCAGTTAAGAAGGGATCACTTACACTGTGTAGTTCTATATCTCAGTTTAAGTGCATATTGAGAGTTTCTTCCCTGCTTTACCTTTTTACACTAATTTCTGACAGGGGACAAAGGCTGCTGAATTACTTTCTTCAAAGCCAGACTCCACTGAGAAATACACTGATTTAACATCACTGAACACAGGAGCTGCTCATCTACCACTGCCTCCACCATTTTTTTTGTGTGTGTGTGTTATTATGTGACTTTGGCTTTTAAAAGGGTTATCTCTACCAAATTCACACAATAACACAAACTGGTCAAGGCAGCAGTAGACCAGCAGCTCCTGTGTTCAGCGAGCCAAAATTACTGTTTTTGTCAGTGGAGTCTGGCTTTGACGAGAGCATAGATGGGAAACTGAAGGTGTTACCTGCTTCCCTGTTCAAACGGGCTGTCTGACAGCAAGGTTAAGCTGTAGAAATACTCTCAATATATCGTACACCTCAACTTCTATTGGTTGTTTTAAGTGGGACTTCTTTTAAGAGGCTAAAATATATTCACAGTAATACATTGCTGAGCTTCCATTTCAGCTCTTTTGCTGCTTTTCCTACAGTAATCCAATAACCATGGATGAGCACCTCATATGACCTCACTCACAAAAAATCTGAACTATCCCTTTATTTATGCTCTGTCTCTGTGATACAGCATGTTAGTGGGATCAAATCACAGTCACAGGAGCAAAGTTGAGCAGACGCAGCCATAACTGCTCCTATAACTTTGTCCCAACACAGTTATGATGGTTTGCTGTAAAATAATTTACATTAATATCCTTTTGATTTTAAAAATTTAGACTACTGTTACATAAAATCCTTCTGGTGCACATAAGGTTCTCCTCTGACCTGATCAGTGGATAAATTCCTGTTATTTCCCTTTAAAATGTGACATTTATAATTGAAGCTGTTAAAGGCATCTTAAGAAACATTTAAACAACATTCAAACCCCACAAAAATCCTCCCTTAAAACCCAGTGTAATCCATGCATGCGTACTTGAGTGAGATGTGTTCAGACATCAGAATCAGGTTAATGCATCCTCATAAACACCCAGTGCTGCATTAATGAGCTCTACAGTATGGAAGTCATCAGATCCATCACAGCTCTGCAGACCACAATGAGATGTGATCTGATGTCAGTACACTGATCGCAGAGTCAGAGCTCAGTAGCTTTGAGGCTCAGTCAGCCCGACATGTGCAGCATATAAACAAGCCTCAGTCAGCGCTGGGCTCTGTCGTCTGCTCCTCTCTCCCACTAACCTGCTCATAGCGAAGCAGCGTCTCCTCCTCTTCCTCCTGCCTCTATCACATCTAAAGCTGAGCGCTTTCTTTTCATGGCTTCCCCTCAGCTGCTGTGTGGCTTCTACCCAGCTGTGTCCCCTGAATGATCTGCCTCCTCTCTAACCCTGTGACAGGCTGAACGGGGTGGGAGGACGGGGGGGAGGCAGGGAGGGAGAGGTTTTGAACAGGAGGAGGGGGGAGCAGGGAGAGGGAGCGAGGAGTGATGCTCCTTTGTTTAAGAGCCACGCCAGCCTCTGAGCTTCCTGTATCTGTCTCCCTCACACTGCCTCTGCTCTGATCTACTGTAATCTTACACTGACCAGTCAAACCTTTGACAGCACTCAGCTCAAATTCCCGATACATTTTATACCCCCTGCGAATATAATCAAATTAATCACGTTTCCACATGTATCTTGTATCTACTGTTAACCCTCCTATTGTCTTCAGGTCAATTTGACCTTGTAGGACAAAAGTTGCGTAGTTCACGGGAAGAAAACAAGAAGGTTAAGACCTTGTTTTATAATCTTATAAAGCAGAGTTTGTCACATGTTTGTCCTGGGCTGAAAAACTGGACCCCAATGAATGATTAGAGGAAAGTGCAATCAAACACTGATTGAAGAAGTTACTGCAAGGGATTAAATCCTAAGATCAAATCAGGAGTGAACAAATATTGGTTAAATTGTGTGCAGAACTGAAATGGTGTGAAGAATATATGGCTGTCAACCCTCAGTTTTGCAGTCGCACCCAATTTATGTAATTTCAAGACTGTTTGCGGACCTTAGTATACAGAAATATTTAAATACACCATTTTGAAAAATGGCTATATTCCTTTATCCCTCGCCTAAATTTAGTACAAATTTGGAGCGTTATTTGGCCCCCTTCCCGACAAGATAGCATAGCATGGTTAGTACCAATGGATGCCTCAGGCCCTCTAGTTTGATATGATACCTGTGTCTTCAGTGTAGCTTTAAACCTTAGCCTGATACAACCGTTTTTATTTGCCAAGTTACTCCACCTCACTCCACACCTTCAGCTCTGCCTGTCAGTAGGGCTGCAACGATTAGTCGACTAATCGATGACTAATCGATTATTCAAATAATCAGTGACTATTTTAGTAGTTGACTAATCGGTTTGAGTCGTTTTTCATAGAAAAGTACAACAAAAGTGCCCCAAAATACTCTTATTGCAGCTTCTTACGTTCAAATATTGGCAGCTTTACACACTCTCCCATGACGGTGAACTAAAACCCTTTGGCGTGAGTACGAAACAAGACATTAGATGACATAATTTTGGGGTTTGGGAAAGACAGGCCGACATTTTTCAACATTTTAACACATTTTTCGATAAAATGATTAGTCGACTAACGGAAGAAATAATCGACAGATTAATCGACAATGAAAATAATCGTTAGTTGCAGCCCTTCCTGTCATACCTGCTGCTTCTTCACTTTCTTTTGCCAGACCTTTGTTCGTTGCCTCTCTGCTGCTTTCATTTTCTTGTTGGTACTCTGACATTTCCCTGAGTGGTCTGTGTTTTTCAGTGAGGCATTCTGACTTAGCTAATCAGGCAACAGTCCACCTCACATGTTTATATTTGCAGCACTTGTGAGTTCTCCGCATCATGCACCTGACTCATGTCAGATGGGCCGCACCATTTCACAATACCTGCAGGGGGGGCATCAGATAGCACCCTGAGATGTGTTTTAAGTATAAAATTACATTTATGTATCGTGTAAATACATAGAACTTGTACTGTCAGTGATTTAAGTCAGTAAATAAATTGCTGTGCTTGATCCCATTTAAGGGTTGGCCTTGGGCTGGGGTCATCTGTACCCTTTGACCTCCCTGACGGCGGACCTGGACACTCGATATCAAACAAAAGCCAGAGACTGTACCGTATTATGTTTCCGTGAGCTGTAAATTCACCACTTCTAAGCAGAAGGCAGAAGATAACATTATCTCGGAGCCTGACTGGCCAAAACCTCCGTCTCCCTCAGACTCACCCTGGTCTGGGTCTGACTGCCTGCAGAGCAGAGCAGCAAGCAAAGCAAGAATCGCTGACTCTGCAGCTAAATCTAGGGACCAAAATGTCCCTACACATACACTGACAGAAAAAACAACAACAAAAAAACAGACCGCTTCACTTGAAGGAATATCAGTCGCCTGAGGGGTCACCAACTGATGATTTGATCCATCAGCTTTCAGAAGGCAGACCTGAGTAAGACTGTCATGATTTTATTCTGACATCAAAATTTGTCTACAACAGTGAACTTGTGTGAAAAGTCGTGCACCATGTTTCACTGTCAAACTCAACATCAACAAGCACAAGACCTGTCCCCACTTCTGACGTAGACAGGAAGTTAAAGTATAACAGCAGATCACAGCAGCTTTTTTGCTGCTGGGAAGAAAAGGTGGACAGTCAACCTACTATAATCTAATCTACCACAGTCTCTCATCTCCTGCTGTCATCCTCCATCATCTGTCATTAACTCTGCTGTCATCTAGCACACAGCTGAACTACAATCTACTGTAATGTGGTACAGAAGCTTTGTGTGTGTGTGTCATATGAGAGTGAAACTTTCTCAGTCTGGTTCGTACATACAGTTAGACAGCAGCATATACAGCGTGGGGCTCTAAAACTATCACACTTTCACTTCTCTTTTTGCTAAATTTAAGCGCCGCTGCGATGCTTCCACACATCAACACATTTCAGTTTGCAGTCAGACCCCTCACAAACCTGCCTGATGCTTCTCACACAGACAGAGACAAGTGTAGAAGGATAGATCACTTACTGCTTTGTGGCTCCATGCTGCCGGGAGTGTCTGCAGAGTCCTGGGGAAGGCCAACGGACCAATAGGACATTCCTACTGGAGGTACTGGTTAATCACTATCAGAGCAGAGAGGAGGCCTGGATTCAGCTGTCACCCTGCACACACACAGACAAAGCAGCAGTGATGAAGTAAAGCAACACTAAAACAGTTTCTACCCATTAAACAGACACAGTTTAGCTGTACAGCCCAAATGAGACCATATTTATTTAAAAACTATGACTATTTTAAGTGCATTTTGAAAATGATGCAGGCCAACAAACCCCATCACAAACTATGAGTGTTGATACATTACCTGCAACAAGCCTGCACAACCCTCTAAATGTGCTATTATAAAAATAGAAAATGTAACCAAGGCCCTCCGAAGCAGCACGTCTTTCATCGAGGCAGGTGAGCAGCCCAAACCACAACCAAGAGCTGCTGAAGGCCTCCTCGGCACCACACCGGACTGGCCGCTAATGGTTGATCTGCTCAGGCAACTCAAGTTCCCAGCACACATCACAGTGATATTTTTGCGACCTGACATCATTCTGTCAGAGGCCACTAAACAACTTGCCCTGATAGAGCTGACGGGAAGAGGAAGAGTCATTTGAAAGGAAGAATGCAAGTACCAGGAACTGGTGGAGGAGTGGCGGGGCAGGGTTGGAGAGCACACTGCCATCCTGCAGAAGTAGGCTGAAGGGGATTTGCCGGTTGGTCTCTCTTTCGAACCAACACCCAGATGTGAATGAGCGGGCTGATGAAGAAAAAAGTCACCAGGGCTATGACACGTACAGCAGAGAGAGCCTCCATGTGGCGTTGGATAAAGAGGGGCGATCCATGGGCTAATGGTGCTGGGACACAAGTCAGGGCTTGGTCAACCCCAGCTGGGTCACCTGTGAGGGTGTATGATGTTGCGAGACCCAAAACACCCGATGAACCCAGGATACATCACTGATGATGCGTCCCAGCGTCTGTAGGATGTATCATTCACCATTTTTAAAATATTCTGCATCAAACTACACTGTAGTGCACAGTCATTAAATAAATGTACCGGACTCAGGGAAAAATAGCAAAGCCATTCTTCAATACACAATATTGTTAAATCTGCAGTAGAAATCTTTCTTTTTTCTCTGAAAGAAAGAATAAATTTTAACTTGAACAGGTTCCTTCCTCTGGCCGCTGAGCACTGCACTATACTGTGTGTACTAACTGAACTATTTTTAAAGAAACATCACACAAAGGGAACTCAGCAATTCAATATTACACCTCCACAAAAGGAAACAACATGGGGCTGACATATAATTCATAATCTGTCATGCAGTTGTCTCAATAATGTAGATTTTTACTATATGACTGTTATTTTTTGTTTGTGCTAGAGTTGTACCGATACCGATACCAGTATCAGAAATGCCTCCGATACTGCCTGATAATGCGGTATCGGGTATCGGCAAGTATAGCCTATGACCAATTCCGATACCACGTAATGCCTCACGTCATTACGCATACGCACGCTACAGGCAAAGGAACCAGAAACGGAGCGGGCATTTAAAAAGCATTCTACTGTAGCCTTTAAAATGTCTTTTTTACCAAATTGTGCGGCTGCACTTTAACCTGTGTCTTGATCTGTGTCAACACTGGATAATAATAATAAAAAAATGTTTTATGGCATTCATTCTACTATTATGTATTTATTTCTTAATATTTTAGATAGAGTTTTAGGAGTTGAGACATACAACAATTCATATCCCATCCATTTTTATTTTACGTTTGGTATCGGATCGGTACTCGGTATTGGCAGATACCTAAGGTTCAGGGATCGGAATCTGTATCGGGAAGGAAAAGTGGTATCGGTACATCTCTAGTTTATACCTACACCAAGGATATTTCAGAATGTATATTTTGTCCTTCCTATTTCCTTATTATATTTCTCATTAATACTGTATTTTATTTTATTGCATTATATTTTTGTACTCTGTACTCAGGTCTCACTTGTAAATGAGATCTTGATCTCAGTGTGACTTCCTGATAACATATAGTCAATGCATTCTGACATCCTGAGTATGTGTTAAGACCTCACACTTCCCTTAATGTAATGTGTGTTTTCTTCTCTTAAAGTTTCATATTTAAAATTTAGGACACAAATTATATAAAAATATCTAACATTTTAGTTTTTTCTTTTTAATAAAATTGAAGAAAAAAATCTATAATCCTGATTTGTCTTTGTCATTATGGGTGTTGAGTGTAGGCCGATGATGGAAATATGAGTTTAAAAGATTTTAGCATAAAGCTGCAACATAACATGTGAAAAACACAGCTTTCTAAATGAAAGCTATCTACTCATTTAATTGAGATTTTGCATAGACAGACTGTCATATAATTGCATTTATATACATTTAACTTCATTTGATTGAAATGTAATTTTCCATTTCACTTATAATCTAATTTAATTTAACCTTTAATCTAATTTAATTCAAATTTTATTACACTTTTCATGTTATTTCAAACACTTAACAGTCCAGACAAAATCCAAAGGCAAAATGGAAAAGCAACAAGCAATATGTTCAGTGTCAGGGTTGAATCTTGTTTTAGTGGTGAGTGTAAATGTAAGTATGTAGGCCTATGCTTTTTTATTTTTAATTTAATCATGTACTTTGTGATCTTTAATTAATTAATTTATTTTTATTTAATCGTGAACTTTGTGATTTTTATTTATTTCTTTAATTCTTTTTTATTTTAATCATGTACTCTGTGATTTTATTTTTATTTTTTATTTAATCATGTAGTTTGTGATTTTTAATTTATCTATTTTTATTTAATCGTGAACTTTGTGATTTTTATTTATTTCTTTAATTCTTTTTTATTTTAATCATGTACTCTGTGATTTTATTTTTTTATTTAATCATGTAGTTTGTGATTTTTAATTTAATTTATTTTCTTTTTTTTAAAGATATTTTTTCGGGCATTTTTAAGCCTTTAATCGATAGGACAGATGAGCGGGAGAGAGAGAGAGAGAGAGGGAGTGACACGCAGCAAAGGGCCATAGGCTGGAGTCGAACCCGGGCCGCTGCTGCAACAGCCTTGTACATGGGGCACCTGCTCTACCACTAAGCCACCGACGCCCCTTAATTTATTTTCTTAATGTTTTTATTTAATCATGTACTTTGTGATTTTGTGTTTATTTTTCATTCTTTTTTAAGTAGTTGGAAAAACTTAACACCTTCATCACTAACTCTCCAAAATGCCATGCTATATTTGAATAAACATGGTAAGCCATAAATCTAGGTCATCACACCCTCGAGCTGCGGAGACTCTCAGACATCCAGTGGAGCTGCAGAGGAAGGGCCCTTAAAACTCTTCAGCAGGTCCTCCCTGCTGCTGCTGCTGCTGCTGCTGCTGCTGCTGCTGCTGCTGCTGCTGCGTGTTTCCTGGAGGATCTGACTCAGAGTGAGCAAAGATGCTACGACAGTGTCTCAACTCTGAATTCATCCTACACTAAACCACAACATGGAAACTGCAGCAAAACCTGGACACAAAAGCTGCTTATGCTGCTAATGGTGTCCACAGATACCACTGATATGTTAGATTTGCATAATATCGACATTTCAAAGGTGATGTAGTGTATGAGCTGACTCATTGGGAGGTGGAGGATGGCGTGTCACCTGGCAACACGTCTGCCAAGCTGCAGACTACTGTTCAAGCCAATAACAATAAACCGGTTGTTTTTAGTGAGTCATTGCTGTTTTAACATCGGGGATAGTGCCTCCACATGTGGTTGTTTTTCACCGCTTTTCCAGCGAGGACTTTTCCCTCAAAACATGATCTCTTCCGCACCATAACCAAGTGCTTTTTGTGCCTACATCAAACCACACATGAATTACAGCCCTGTTGGTCCAGTTTGGAAACCTCAGAATTGCATCTCTGCTTTTTGCAGATGATGTGGTTCTGTTGACTTCATCACACCGTGACCTCCAGCATGCACTGGGGTGGTTTGCAGCTGAGTGTGAAGCGGTCGCGATGAGAGTCAGCACCTCCAAGTCTGAGGCCGTGATCCTCTGCTGGAAACCGGTGGATTGTCCCCTCTGGGCTGGGAGAGAGTTGCTGCCTCAAGCAAGAGAGTTCAAATATCTGGGAGTCTTGCTCACCAGTGAGGTTTGAATGGAGCATGAAATGGATCACAGTTGCAGTGATGCAGGTGAAAGGGACGTCTGGGGTGCTTTGCTCGGACTGCTGCCCCCGCGACCCGGCCCAGGATAAGCAGATGAAAATGGATGAATGACAGTTTCAACGTGTCCCCTACATAATAACATACAAACGTATAGTTTCCATTGCAGAAATATACAATGCTAACACATTTTCTGAAGACTGAGCTGCACTGAGTGCTCAGCTACAGACCTAAGCTCAGCCAATACACTCTGCAAATGCCCCCCAAAAAGTGAGAGTGCATGTTGGGAATTGTATCAGAGTTATACAGAGTTATATAGAGTTTACAACATTTTTTAACATGTTTATCGCAGCCATGAGATCCTCACTGGTAGGAGAAAGGGTGCTAGTAGCATTACCTTTAGCTTCGCCTGAGACAACTAGTATAGTTGAGGTCTCGTCAGAAATTTCCTCTCAGGGGCACTTTTCTTGTTTCTTTCCTTTGCCTGGTTTTGTCACATTGTATAGAATTTTACAGCTCACTTCAAAATCGCAAATTAAGAATTAAAGCCACAGTGTGTAGGAATTTCTCCCATCTAACGTTGAAATCATATATTGCATTCAAACGGATAGCACACTCTAGCGCCTCACTGTTTCAAACGGGTATTGCAACAACAGTAGCTGCTGTGTACCAAAAAGCTATGATAACATTGATGAAACCATGTCATCCGATACTTCATGGAGTATTCATTCAGGCTCCTACACAGACACACACGAAATGAGTTGACAAACCCCCTCCTCACCATGCTGGCTGTGTTTACAACGTAGGACTGTTGGAGCAGGTGTAAATCAAAACAAACCAATCAGGTCTTGTCTTTTGACAACTGACAAGTGGCTCAACCTGTAACACCTCATCCCTCTCCTCGCATCACTGTGCCGCTGACAGCTCTTAGCGGTGTCGCTTCTACCCCGGCACTACTGCAGCATAACAAATGTAGCATAACAAAGTCCGACTCTTTGAGCATAATGCAGGATCATGCATATGCAGCATCACGGGAGACGGAATCCTTATTGCCAAGAAAACGCAAAAGGGAATCAAAAAGGCAGCGTGACCGGCAAATTCAAAAAACGAGGGTCAACATCGGGACAGCCTTTCCCAGGTGGAGAGAGCTGCTGAAGGAGAAAGGTAATGCCAGGCCAGTGCTGCTGTTAGCTGGGAAATGGCTAACAGCTAACGGCTAACAGCTAACAGCGGCGCAGTGATGCGAGGAGAGGGATGAGGTGTGTGAGGTTGAGCCACTTGTCGCTGCTAGCTGTGAGCCGTTTCCCCGCTAACAGCGGCGCTGTCCTGTGATTGCATTACCTTTCTCCGGCACCGGCACTTGGGACTAGTCTGCTTGCTGCTGCTTTTCGTCACTCTACCTGCAGGCGGAAACCGGAAACCGACAAGTGAAAACACGAAAGGCGATTCCGTATTTCTCAAGCATGTCCCTGTACATACCTGTATTTTCAAGATGGCGCACGTACATGATGAGACACCGGTCGCAATGTATATGTAAATGGGAATTTCGGAGCTTATGGACATACTTAGATACGCTGATGGAGGTAAATACACATGTGCTAGGACACACTTTTGACTGCAAAATTTGTTTGTCTCAAAGAACTGAAACTGTTACACATAGTGCCTTTAAAGGTCTTTAGGGTAAGGTAAAAAATGGAGTCAAGATGGAGCTCCCCAAAACCACATCTACTCCATGACAGGAACCATGATATCCAGATGTCAACATGGTTCAGACGTCCCTCTCCGCAGCAACACTTTCCAGCTCCTCCTGGGGGACTGCGAGGTGTTCCCAGGCCAGATGAGATATATAATCCCTCCAGGGTGTTCTGGGTCTGCCCCGGGGCCTCCTACCAGTGGGACATACTCAGAACACCTCTAACTGGAGGCATCCTGATCAGATGTTGAACCATCTCAACTGACCCCTTTCAACATGAAGGAGCAGCGGCTCTACTCTGAGCTCCTCACCCTATCTCTAAGGCTGAGCCCAGACACCCTACAGAGGAAACTCATTTCGGCTGCGTGTATCCGCGACCTCATTCTTTCTGTCACTCACTACCCAGAGCTCATGACCATAGGTGAGGGCTGGGACGTAGATGGACCAGTAAATCGAAAGCTTTGCCTTCCTCTTCACCACGACCAACTGGCGCAGCACCCGCATCACTGCAGGTGCTGCACCAAACCGCCTGATTCACACCTTCAGCTTCAACCTTATTCAGAACTAGGAAATATGACCACATTACTCCAGTTCTTAAATCCTTACCCTACCTACCTGTCACTCAGAGAACTGATCTTAAAATCTGGCTGCTTGTGTATAAATCACTCTGTGGCTCAGCGCTCAAATATGTCTCTGACATGCTAATGAAATATGAACCTTCTAGGACTCTGCAGACGTCTGGGGCCGGCCCACTGACCATCCCAAGAGTCAGAACAAAACTTGGTGAGGCAGCGCTTTGTTACCATGCAGCACAAACCTGGAAAAACCTCCCAGATGATGTTAGACAGCCCCGACTCTTAATACTTCTAAATCAAAGCTAAAAACGTAAATCATTTAGTAATTAATTTAACATGTTATATCCTTTATCTTTGCTGTTTTATTGTAAATCTATATCCTTTATTATGTTTTATATTTTATTGCTGCGTAAAGCAGTTTGAATTGCCCTGCTGTATGAAATGTGCTGTACAAATAAAGCTGCCGTGCCTCACGCACCAGTATAGAGTGCAATTGAAACATGAAGCCGTAATAGCTCTCTCCTTAATGCCAGAAAAACATTGATCTAACATCGCTGAACAGAGAGGCTGCCTCAACCTTTTCTTTGGTTGATGCTACTGAGTGACTTTGGCACACAATAATACAAACAACACACTGATGGAGGCCGCAGCTCCTGTGTTCAGACAGACAAAATTTCTGTTTTTGTCAATGGAGTCTGGTGTCTTTGACAGATGAGGAACTGAAGCCATTAACTGCTTTCCTGTCTGTACAAGCTGTCTGACAGAAAGGCAAAGCCCTGCAGAAACTGCCAACACAGCCTACACTTAAACTGATACATTAATTTTTAGGTGGCGACAATATGTTTAGCTGCAGCCCCGCGTCCACAGCAGTACATTGCTTATCATCCATGTCAGACTCCAGCCTGCTTCTCCAAACTGGGGGCACACTGACTGACATGTTCTGCATGCAACACACTGACTATGGATAAGTACCTCGTTTAACCCCGCTTCAAAAAATCTGAACTGTCCCTTTAAGTGGGAAGTTAAATCTTCATCATGTGTGTCATCCTCACACTGCAGCAGGTGTGTATAGCCATGAGAAGGAGGCATGACAACACAGTGTCTGTGGAGGAGCTCTGCTTGTGAACACATTGGAGTCACTGAGTCAGAGACAACTCCTTTAAATGCTGTTTGCTAATACAAGAGTCCCTTTATTATTAAGGCTCAAACAGGAGGCTGTAGAGGGGTCTGTTAAAGCGTGTGCAGCAGGTTGAAACCTACTTTAAAGCCTGAAATATTCCTTAAATTGCTGCCTCTTTCTGGATTATAATTATACCGACTTTAAAAGTACTTCATGAGAGTATGAAAAATATGTTTAATTATAGTTCACAGAGTAAGTTATTAAAACAGGAGGAAAATATGTGTTAAATTAGCAGATTTTTCAACAGCGTTTGGTTTGTTTTTCCTCTGATGACAGGGGCGCGTGAAGCAGCCCTGATGGAGCTAACTTGGTGACTTTTAAGACTCCCAGTTGAAGCTAAAACACCAGACTCAAACTTTAATGACGCCACAGTGACAATAAAACTACTCACCACATGTCTGAGGACTCTTCTCAGCATGGCGACGCACTTTTACAGCTCCGAGTCGTTCACAGCGGCTGCACAGATTTCTGTTTGACACTGACGCTTCTCTGGACTTCCTGATTCCACGATGCAAACTTTCCAATCCACGCACACTGTGTCAAGTCCAGGTCAAGCCAGACTGGAACACGGAGCCATTTCCGGTGAGGGGTTTCAAAATAATGCCCAGCCGTTGGTGTCATTAAAACACACCCAGATAAATTTTTCAAAATAAAACAACAGTAATTCAACAGCGAGAATATGAAATAAAGATAGATGGAGTTATATATTTCAGTTAATGATAAACCAGGCTCGACATTATTAAAAACAGGGAAATTCACATGTTGCTACGTGATAGGCATTTACTTGAATTTGTGATTTACAGTGTCAATTTTGTAATTTTATGATTTATGGGTTTACTAATAACTATGTTTTTTTAAACTACTGGTTTTACTGATATTAAACTATGATTGCTTCTGTGGACTCTATTTTTATCTTTTCTTGTTTTAACTGTATTCAAATGTCCTTTTATATTGAGGACCTGTTTTCTGTTTATTCTGTCAAATTTTATGTGAAGCATAATTCCCTTGTTGTAAAGCACTTCCGGCTGCATATCCTGTTTGAAATGCGCTAAACTATTATTATTATTATCATTATTATTATTATTATTATTATCATCACCATCATTATTATTATTAGACTATGACACCCCAACCCACCCACCTAAGGTGACATTGTAGACTTTGTGCAATAACTGTTGTGTTTGGCTGTTTTTATTGTTTTAACTTACTATTTATCATATATCTTAAAAATATATGAATGTGTGTGATCATGAGCGAGTGTGTGTTGGTGCATGTGTACATATTTATATGCTGCTAACTGTATTGCTCCAACAAAGTTTCATGTATAACATACAATTATAATAAAGGATCTGTCTATGCATCCATCTATTATCATTATTATTATTATTATTATTATTATTATGTTTTCTTTTAAGAGGGACACTTAACCTTTTAACTAGTTTAACAGATATCACCATGAAACTTCCAAAGCTGATTAGTGACATTAAGAAAATTATTTTTAGTATTTAAAGTTTTCAGAAATTTCAGGTTTTAATATGCAAATTAGTCATTATCTACTGAAATATGGACTTTTTACATACATCTCCAGAACAGAAATCTGAACTAAAATAAACAGTAGTTTATTATGGAAGCAAAATAGCCCAAAAACTCAAAATTAATCAGTGCATTAAAAAAAGTCTTGTCTTACCAGTTCCACCGTAAAAATATTGAGCATTTATTTTTTTATAAACAAGAACATCAGCTAGGCCTAATGAGAATTATTTGCTTTTTTATGCCTTCTACTTTTTTCTTACTCCAATGCTATCCACATACTCTCCACTCCAACATATCCAGCGATTATCTTGCACAGGGTGTAAAACATGTGGCCTGTGGGCCAAATCCGCCCACCAAAGGGTCCAATTTGGCCCACTACATGACTGGACTAAGAGGTGCCAGGTTTCAGGAGCAAGTTTAACAATGCGTTGCCTACTTTGTGTAAAATTCTGCCTCAAAGACTTTTCCACCGTGACCAGAATACAGATCTCTGATATAACAATAAATACTTACTGTGACCATGTTTAAAAACACTAAACATTGTGCAAAATATTGTCAATCAGCAGCTTCAGTCCAAAAGAATCTGTATCAGGAAATGTATGGATAAATGTACATGTCATGACAGAGAGAAGTCGACTGACTGAATGTGGAAAAACTGAGACATATTATTGAAATTGCACTTATTTTTCATATGACATCTCAGGCTGTTCGACTGTTTTATAACAGGATGAACAGCTACTTGTAATGTACTTGTAATTCTTTACACCAAAAAAGGGAAAATATTGGAGCTGATGGTACTTATAGGTTATTGTGTGATGGTTTTACTGGTCCTGCCCGCTGGAGATCAAACAGTGCTATATGTGGCCCATGAACAACAATGACTTTGAAACTCCTGCTGTAGCAGGTCCTAAATTGTGATAATCACTCACTAATAAACACATTAAGGTGACCAAGAGGTGGTACACTTACTGCAGACCGACCATTAGCATTAGATCTTTGTAGCATTTTCCCTTAATGAGCATCTTTTTAAATGTAAAAAGTCGGTTGCAGTTTTCTTGCCCCCCTCTGGGTGGTGCCCTTTGCAGCCACCTACATTGCCTTTATGCGCTGCTTAAGTGAAAACACCCTCAACCAAGGTTTTGTACACTGGTAGTGGTGAGCACAGTGTCAGCAGCTGATCCCCAGAAAGAACAACAGGTTCCTGAGTGTCTCTTTGATAATATTATGCCTAAATAGTAGTCCCTCTAAAGAAAACATGCCCCGTCATATCATTATATGTATACGTTCTTGTTCTTCACCTTTCCCAACAATCCTTTGGTTGCTGTGTGCAGAAACACATGCATTTGTTCAGCAACTTCACCAGGCTTATTGTATAAAAGAATGAGGCACAAAGTACATTTCATTTTCTTTATTCAGAATTTCTATTTAAATACAAAACTAATGTGAGAAAAATGCAGAGACAGATGTGTTTCCCATGTGTGATAATAAACAAACTCTCACTCAAAACTCTCACTCATGTTGGTAAAAAAAAGTTAAAGTTGACACTTTCTGTTACAGTACTAACATGTTACTGGCAAGGTAAATATTACCTCATCTGGGACAGGAAACAGTTCCTTCCAACATCTGAAAGGGAAGGCACATTCTCCTCAGCAGAGAGAACATTCGTACTGATCACACCAGGTTTGAATCAGCGCTTGGAATTAGAAACATAAAGTATCTGCAAACATCGGCTACTCAACAGTTACAAAAGTAAACAGTAGTTCTTTCTCAGACCTCCTCACATTGTCTACTGCAGGGAGAGTTGATGAGATTTTAATTGAACTCACATGAAAAATCATATTGTTGATTAATCACTATGTTTTGCACAGGTTTAAGACATGACGGGCAAACAAAAGGATCATTATAACGACTGGAGCATTTTTTCGAAAACTCTGCAGTTGAGGGACGTCCAACACAGCTGACAATCGATCAATGATCAACCACTATTTGTGCAGTAAAAAAGTTACTCATTGTGTTCTGTATGGGGGCCCATACAGACTGGGGCTGCCCTGGATTTCCCCCTTAATTACTGTAGTAAAAATCACATACATACACCGGCCACTTTATTAGGTTCACCTGTTCAACTGCTCTTTAACACAAATAGCTAATCAGCCAATCACATGGCAGCAAGTCAATACATTTAGTCATGTAAACATGATGAAGACGAGCTGCTGAAGTTCAAATGGAGCATCAGAATGATGAAGAAAGGTGATTGAAGTGACTTTGAACGTGGCATGGTTGTTGGTGCCAGACGGGCTGCTCTGAGTATTTACTGGGATTTTCAGCACAACCATCTCTAGGGTTTACAGAGGATGGTCCCAAAAAGAGCAAATATCCAGTGAGCCAAAATGCCTTGTTGATGCCAGAGGTCAGAGGAGAATGGCCAGACTGGTTCAAGATGATAGAAAGGCAACAGGAAGTCAAATAAGCACTAGTTCCAACCAAGGTGTGCAGAAGAGCATCTCTGAAGCAACAACACCTTGTCCAACCTTGAAGCAGATGGGCTACAGCAGCAGAAGACCACACCAGGTGCCACTCCTGTCAGCTAACAACAGGAAACTGAGGCTACAATTCACACGGGTTTTCTCACCAAAACTGGACAATAGAAGATTGGAAAAACCACATTCAGATGGAAGCATGGATCCATCCTGCCTTGTATCAACGCTTCAGGCTGCTGCTGCTGGTGTAATGGTGTGGGGGAGATTTTCTTAGTACCAACTGAGCATGGTTTAAACACCACAGCCTACCTGAGTATTGTTGCTGAGCGTGTCCATCCCTTTATGACCACAGTGTACCCATCTTCTGATGGCTACTTCCAGCAGGATAACGCACCATGTCACAAAGCTCACATCATCTCAAACATGACAATGAGTTCACTGTACTCCAATGGCCTCCACAGTCACCAGATCTCAGTCCAATAGAGCACCTTTGGGATGTGCTGGAACGGGAGATTCTCATCATGGATGTGCAGCCGACAAATCTGCAGCAACTCTGTGATGTCATCATGTCAATATGGACCAAAGTCTCTGAGGAATGTTTCCAGCACCTTGTTGAATCTACGGCACCAAGAATTAAAAAGGGGGTCCAACCTGGTACCAGCAAGGTGTACCTAATAAAGTGGCTGGTGACTGTACTGATGTCTGGGGGAACTTAATAAATCAGAATAAATTATTGGAAAATTATTATAAAAATAAAAATAAAACTGAGCATTAGTGGTTTTGAAGCTGTTGAGTAAAGCCTATCATCACCTACAGCACATCATAGTACAGGTGAACAAACGCTGACTCTCTGGGCTCTGACACACTCTGGCACAGACTAACTGATATATCGGCCTAACCCTAATCTCAACACCATGACTGAAGACAAAGAAGGGAGCGTGCTGGTGGGAGAGAAGTGTGATGTGAAGGGCAGTGCAGAGCGCTGGACGAATCACAGGGTTTCACTCAGTTTGATTGTCACTGCTTTCACCTCCGAGTACTCGGCCAGAGCGTACTCTCCTCTGAGAGGACAGAGATGACACAGGAGGCAGGTTAGAGAGGACACAGTAAAAAACTCAAGATCATGAAAAATTAAGAAACACTGATGGTTCTTACAGCTCTCTTCCGTTGCCGGACATCTTGTACCCTCCGAAGGGAGTCTGGGCGTGAAAAGCGTTATAGCAGTTTATCCTGAACAGAAGAAATGGTTTGATTTTATTTGTTGTCAGCTCTCTGTTTAAAGGTTACTTCCCCCACTAAATGACCATTTGTATATCAATTAATCTCCACCTTACCTTTGTTTTTCTCGCTTCACTCCACGACGAAGGGAGAATCCAAAAAAGGCGAACATTCTTCATGAACTGACGTAAACAGGTACCACATTTAACAAAAGCAGACTATGCCCCGGGGCCTCCTACCAGTGGAACGTGCCTGGAACACCTCTAACAGGAGGCGCCCAGGAGGATCCTGAACAGATGCCCGAACCACCTGAACTGACCCCATTCGACATGAAGGAGCAGCGACTCCACTACTCCTTCCCTACCCTATCTCTAAGGCTGAGCCCAGACACCCTTTGCAGGAAACTCATTTTGGCCGCTTGTATCTGCGACCTCATTCTTTCAGTCACTACCCAGAGCTCATGACCATAGGTGAGGGGTTGAGATGTAGAGTTGTTATATAACGGCATAAGGGATATCGGCAAAAATCCAATATTGTGCATCCCCAGATGATACTGCATGAACTGTGTGAGAGTTTATATACGGATGTTTTAATATAGTTATGCTACTGTTAAACGTGGTCCCTGTTCATGAAGAATGTTCGCCTTTTTTTTTTTTTTTTTGGATTCTCTGTTCACTGTGGAGGTTTTTTTCTTCATAAATTCAAGGTAACACACAGTGAGTAAATGTTAGTAATGCTAGTTACTCTTTAAATATGGAGCTGGAGTCAGGACACGGTTAGCCAAGCTCAGCCTAAGGACTGGGACCAAGGACTTACCAGACAGTACCAGTCTCCAGGGCTGCAGACACAGACAGAGCTCTGTCCATACTGGATGTGAAGACCGCTGACACCAGACCGTACTGTGAGCTGTTTGCTCTGTCGATGGCCTCCTGCTGGCTTTTAAAGCTGAATATACACTGCACTGGACCAAAGATCTGAGAGGGGACAGATAAATCAAATTAATATGTTTGCTGACCTCTCTGACTGACATTCACATAAAATAAAAAAACATAAATGTGTCATATGAACAGAAAAGAAAAGCTAGACTGGTTAAATAAATACTGAATGAAACTGTACAGTCCAATATGATGATGTGTGACAGTACGCCAGATGTGCAAACATAGAAGAATACAAACAACAGAGCAGCTGTGAGGTTAGTGGTTGTGATGGTAGCATGACAGGTGATACTGATGCATGTCAGTGATACCAGTGTCATGTCAAGAAAATGATTTCCAAAACCAGAGGATGAGCCAGGGCTCTAATTTAGAGCTTATTTAGAGATAAAAATATTCAGATGAACCTCGATATCAGCAGATTTCAGTATATGTTTGCTATAAAATCCTTAGTCCCAACCAGGTCTCCAGGAAGTGCACCGGGCTCTGAAGCCAATTTCTCATAGTGGCTGAACAGTAAAATTACAATTTCTGCGTCCGTCACGTGATGCCATGAGGCCCAAAAAGACTTTTTCCCATTTACTTACATTGGGAGGGAGGGTTGAGCGTCAAACCCCCACGAAATGACTAGTTTCACTATCAGAATTTGATCCATTCAGTCCGATAACATTTCTAAAGTCTAGAAGAGCTGCAGATTAAATCATTTTATTCATGGATACCCATTCAAGCAAACTGGAAGTGGCCATCTCAACCGGCAGAAGTCTGTAGTGCCCCTGCTCTGTGGGCCCAATGATGCAGAAGCAGTGCAGATCACCTGTCAGTTTTTTACGTGGCAGTTAAACATTTTTGGCTTTGTGTGCCACTGAGCAACTTTCACAGGAATGAACAAGATCCAGCCTTCAACATTCAATCTCTTTTTGTACATACTAGGCACCAGCCCGTGAACACACCCAAAGGATCCCATACGCCATGGCATTGAAGGAGGTTCATTCATTTCAGTGGAACCATCACAGCTGGATGGGATGCACACAAAAAACCCAGAAAAATCAAGGATGATTGAAGTAATTAATCACTCAAAGTCAAAATCATGAGATAATATGTTAAACTTCTTAGTTGGTGTAATTTGGGGGATTTGTTCTAGTATTTTTTACTAATCTCATAATTTTGAATTTCACTGTCAGAAACAGGCTTCCACACAACTAAGCAACACATTTACTTCTCCTCCTGCGTGTGCAGCTCCTCATCAGTGCTGACTGCAGCGTGTCTCTCTGCACTGTCCATGGTGCAATTACAGTGCAGTTCCACAGGGTGTCAGTCACACACCGACACCATCCTCGTCCCAGTCTGTGTCTGATTCATTGGTACTGAACTGAAACAAGTCGTACCTCTTCCTTGGCGATGCGCATGTGGTCTTTGACCCCAGAGAAGATGGTGGGCTGAATGAAAAGGCCCTTCTCGCCCAAAGCTGCTCCTCCATACTCCAGCCTGGCTCCCTCCTGCTTCCCACTTTCTATCAGATCCATGATCTTGTCAAACTGCTGTCGGTCGATCTGGAGTCAACATCAAGAGAGTAAGAAGAAAAGATAAGGAGACGGGTTTTAAATACGGGAATCCTAAATTTAGGAACTGATTTACTGAACTTGGATGTGAACTTTAGACAGAGCCAGGCTGTTTCCACCTGCTCCCAGTATTTTCCTGAACCAGGCTAACAATGTCCAGACTCCAAATCCGTACTTCCTACCTGTGGCCCGTGTGATGTCTTGGGGTCCAGCGGGTCTCCTATCACAATCTTCTTGGCGTTTTCTATGCTGCGACGCACAAACTCCTCATAAATACTTTCCTCCACAAAGACACGTGACGCAGCCGTGCAGCACTGACCCTGGTTATACAAAGCTCCTTTCTGGGTTTCCTCCACAGCCAGCTGCACTGTACACACACACACACACACACACATAAAAATTGCAGTATTTATTAGTATAACAAACACATACTGTCTGCCATCAGTTAAATGACAGATCATATTACATATGAATGGTTCAGTAGTAGCTGCACTGTACAGGCCAGTTTATCCTGCTACTGTTTCTTCTGCTGCTCTGTACTGACAGCGCTGTCTCTGCAGCCCCTCAAGCTACAGTATCTGTTTTTGATAGTGTGACAGTAGCTGAGATCTTCACCTTATAGTTGTGAGATGGCACAAAAAGCTGAGTTGTACAGATGAAAGATGAGACTCTCATGTTTCAATATTCCTGAGTAGTAAAGACAGGTAGTGAAACGCCCGGGGCTGCAGAGGTGTGAAGTAACCATGTAACAGGTCACACTGTGACTCCAGTGCACGCTGGAATATTCAACATACAACATCTTTATGTTGCATTTACTGATGTAAAGATGACAGAGACACAGAGTGTGTTCACTTACAGTCACAGTCAGCAAACACAATGCTGGGGTTCTTCCCTCCCAGCTCCAGAGTCACTCTCTTCAGATTACTTTTGGCTGACGCTTCTTTGATCAGCTGGCCAACCTGCACGCATGAGGGCACACAGAGTCATACAAAGAACCTTTTGAGGAACTCAGGAACTTCACTGGGACTAAAATCAGTTCATGTACAGTAGTTTACATAAAGATATTCCCAGCATGCTGCCCATCGCTGAATGGCCACAAACAGTCGACACGGCTGCTTCAACTTGTGTCCAGCTTCACTCACAGAGCAAGGAAGTGCAGCAAGAGTGGTACACGTATTGAAAAGGGACGAACATTTCTTATAATGTTTTTAATGATAAAAACAATATTATGTGGTCAGCTTCCCGAACCGTTTAAGTCAGTGGTTCTCAAAAGGTGTGCCGTGGCACAAATCCAGGTGTGCTGTGGGAATTCGTAATAACCACACATTATTACAGCAATATTGAACTGGGCCTGTACAAAAAGTTATGAATACATTTTTAATTGACTGTATGAATATGAAATGGTATAGTCATATTTCTGGTGAGGTGCACAACAGGCTACGGTGCACCTCACCAGAAATGTAACTACAAGTTGCAGCGATGCAGACCTCCTGTCTATCTTTGTAAGCTGACACCATTTCCCTCAGTAGAAACGTAGCTTTTATTTACTTTAATCTCACAGATAAGAAACAATAAATTGTGAAGACAATAAAGCCTCCACTAAAATAGCATTTTAAGTCTTGTGTGTGATTTATCCTGGCTGAAATATGAGCAGAGGAAATCTCCGCTCCTTGCTAGACTAATTTATACAATGTAAAAAGCCATAGGCTTGTGCTAATAACGTAAGCATGTTGTATTTGTTTGGAAAACGTGTTTAGTATAAGACAGTTGTTTTGTCAGTGAACCTTGTGAGTTGTAATGGAGCCGAATTTTTTAACGTCACCTTTGTTAAATGTTGCTGTTGTTGAAATTGTCTCTATTAAGCCATGTTTAATGTGTGTTTTGGGTGTGTTATCTATCAACTAAACTTTACCGGACTTCACAGAAACTCCGCCGCTGACTAGAGTTTTGGAGGTTTAACTGCAGAGTGACACAGACACATCCCTGCATAAATATAAATGCTCACAACGGCGTAGGCTACATGCGTGTGCTACGGTGTAGGGTCTGCTGCACAAGTATAAATCCCCCTTAATCTATGCACATGGGGGTACGCTTCTACGCAGAGCCTACATAAAAGGCCATTAATTCAACGCAAAAGTATAAACTCTGCTTCGGTTGTACAACTAACCAAAGTCAAAAAAAGAAATCATTACTAGCAGCACTCGACCACTTCAATGGCGTCTGGATTCTTTATCAAAGAAGTACACACCTCTGTAGAGCCAGTGAAGGCCACTTTGTTGATGTCCATGTGGCTGGCGATGGCTGCTCCTGCTGTGGGACCAAACCCTGGAACTATGTTCACAACTCCTGGAGGGAACCCTGCCTGAAACGGCAACCCAGAGAGCAGAGAGTGATTTATCTTCCCATTGACGAGCAACTCCTACTATAGGGTTAAAAACATCTGATCCATTTGGCTAGTTCATGGTAGGTTCAGTATTCCTTTTATAAACTGTCTGTATGACCACTCTGTGATTATGTCTAGTGACGGACAGCGACCTGTGGGAGTCTGTGAGCCTCACAGAGTTAAAGTGTTCACTGTCTCCCCTGCTGCGAACAGTCACTAAACATTTCGAAGCAGAGCAGTTTAATCACACGAGAAGCAGGATTTTCCACAAGAATACAGGCCCAGAATCTGTTCAAGAAGATGACTGTGAGACGTTTGAAGTCTCTCAGCCTAACATCAGACCTCTTTGATGAGCGATCCAACGTGGAGGGCTGTGAGGGGGGTCTGCTCTGCTGGCTTGATGACCACAGTGTTTCCACAGCTCAGGGCTGGCGCTATCTTCCACATGAACATCAGCAGAGGAAAGTTCCACTGGCATAGACAGAAGAACACATGTTAGCTGATCTCGGCTTTCAATGTGTAACAGCACAAGTCAGGTTAATGCACACTGACACAAACAAAAGGCACGGTTAGACCACGATTCAAGCTCTACTCAGAGGTAAACTGAACTTTCCCCCCTCTATTGGACTGATAGAAAGTTATTTAACAAGTCATCGTACATACCATAACTTTGCTTTTCATTATTATTCAACTTATAAATATTATAAAGGTTAATCTGCGACAGGGCCATGGGCTAACATGAGCTGATGGGTCACTAATAACCTCCATTCCTCCAATGGCAGAGCCAAACTATTTTCAAATGTGTGAGAAGTCTGTAAGCCAAATTCAAAATATTATTTCTAGTCTCACTCCACCTTCTGATGGATCAGCTGATAGATCACATGACTCCTTTGTGTGCAACCAGTTGGCAAATCTCGTTCAGGGCGCCCTATTTAAATTGCTCTGGCCTGCCTACTGTTGCTGCTTCCTCTGAGAGGTGTGCTCTCTCTGCCTCAGGCTTTCCGTGTAGGTGCATGGAAGGGCAGAGAGGTGTGCGCTCTCTGCCTGACTGTACGTTCAAACCAACAGCGACCAGAGCTTCCAAAACGGCGGAAGTCATTAATTTTCAATGAGAGCCTGGCGACTTGGGTGACTTGGACTACCTGGTTGTCAGCCACGTGTCTTGTGCGACCAAAGCAACCGGAGGGGGTCCGGAGGGGAGTTAAAACTAGTTTTACTTTATGGTAACGAGCTCTGATGTGGTTTGGCAACAACCAATCGGAATGCTGACGTGCATCGATGAAGCGGGTCCCAGAGAACAAGCCACATAACTTTGGTTCCTACAGCACACTTGTTATGACAATGGATATCGAGAGGTTGATTACTTGCGTTCGCGCCCACTCAGTCCTTTATAATGTGTCGCTGTTTGGTCACAGAGACCAAAATAAAAAGATTGAGGCTTGGGACCGCGTCGCAGAGGTGGTTGGTTGGTCTGGTGAGTTTTAAGTTTGAACATACAGTTAGGCTTTCTGTGTAGGTGCATGGAAGGGCAGAGAGGTGTGCTCTCTCCGGCTTAGGCTTTCTGTGTAGGCCTGAGGAAAGGCAGAGAGGCCCCAAAACAGGGCCATACCGCCAAATATAATACTGCAAATGGAAATAAAGTTTTCTTTGACAAAAGTGTTCCCAATTGAAATGATTTAATTGAGAGGCTCTTCCAGATTTTCGAACACGTGATCAGACTGAATGTGTTGTGATGCTTTAAACAAATATATTAAAACAAATGTATCCACTCATTAACAGACTCATCTTTTAAAATGGAAGTGGCATCTTGTGACAGAGCCGGAAGTTGTAATTCCACGTTTGGCCACTATGTAAAATAAACACATCACATCAGTACAACACCGCAAATTGACATTGTCTTCCTTCAACAACAAATGCACGTGGTTATGTTTTGCCAATATACACACGTGGTTGGATTTAGGAGAAAAGAACAGAGTTTGGCTTTTTATGGGAAGCAAACACCTCTCTCCCAGGTGAAACTCAGTGGTTGTTGGATGATGATGACATCCCCACTTTGACCTGTCGTCATGGCTCCCCCTTGCAGCAGCATGTTTGTTGGACCTCATCAATCTCTAGTTGTGGAAGCAGTTGCTGTTTGTGGAACAATGGGCTAGGAGTTGGTTCTTTGTCAGTGTAGATGTTGGGTTTCGAAGCATCTATATATCCCACAACCTCTGCATGTCACCCCTCTCGCTGGGGTTACATGTATAGTAGCAATCCAACAGGTCCAGATTCTCTGCTCTAGTCCATCTATGTCTTGTTTCAGTAGCCCATTTCTCATTAGGTTGTCTTGGTTCCTCAGCAACTGACACAGACCTTGTTGACTTGGGCGACTGAGCCGGTATGACTCTTGTGTTTGTGGTTTCTCTCATCCAGACTGGATATGTGTTACCCTACAGGCACGTAATAACCTGTTGTCAACTCTGTGTCTTATGCACGTCTCGGCCTCCCGTTCATGGCGATGCAGCGCTGGATAACAATCACCACTCTCAGCTGCATGTTATGCACATCTGTCCCACTGCTGGGGAGGCAGAAACAAACACTGCCAACAAAGTTGCCTGCGGCCTCTCTTTCTCTCCCTCTCTTATTGTCCATCCCTCTCTCACGTGCACTTTCTCTTCCCCAGTTCTCCATTGTTCTGTCACTCCTCCTCTCCCTCTATCATGCCCCCCCTGTTTCTCTCTCTTTCTCTGTTGGTTCAGGGAATGTTAAGAAGTTACAGCCTGGTGGGTCGGGTCGGGAAAAGAATCAAAGCTCTAACTCAAACCTTTCTGAAGCCGGAATCATGGGGCTGAATCCAACAATTCTTGTAACTGTAGCAGTTGGCCAGGTGTGTAGCCCTGTCCGAATAGGGTTTAGACTGCCTTGCTAAACCTGCTGCCATCTTTACCTGGTCGAGGATGAGCAGCAGAAAGTAATCACATAACCACAAACCAGTTGCTCTACAGTGAAGCTGCCCCCTGGACACACTGGGCAGAGGCATTATTAAAGTTTTTGGATGAAAACAGTAGCTTGTTTTTGTCATTCTCTCATCACTGCAACAGTCTCCAATGGAAATAATAATGACATGAGAGGCACAAAGTGGGGCTAATAATCCAAACAACACACACATAACCAGTTCTTTGTTTTGTCCAGAAAAAAAATCCACTTTTTCACTTGGATATTGGTCTGCAGAGAATATACAAGATAATAAAAGGAGCCTTAAATCATTAGGACTGGAGGTGATTCAAAGTTAGCAAATTCAGAAAAGAGGTCATTTATTTTCCAGTTGCTCATTTCCATGCTGGAAATCAGTGGACAACTAATTGGGCACTCAAACCCAAATTAGAAAGCAATGCATGTGAGTGCTGCATGTTTATTGTTTAGGCATTGTTAACTTTTACAACACTTTGGAAACACTCACAGCCATTAAGGGATCCTGGGATCACAAGTGGGAGAAGAAGGTTTCCTGTTTTCCTCTGAGTATGACTCACGCTGCGTGTGCGCCAGCAGTGCTTTCAGTAATTACACAACGTCCTTCAGAATAAATTTCACTTTTATGATATAATCTCCCATGTCAAACAACAGCCGTTTTGTTCCTTTGTTACCAAAGCAACATTCGAGGTTATAGGCTCATGCTCAAAGATAAAAACTGAATGGCTTTATTCTGTCATGATGCTGAAATTATGCATATGTGTCTGTCTGGATCTGAGACAAAGTGCAACACGATACATCCGAACACCAAAAGTTGCCCCACCCTAGATCTGATGAAGTTATAATCAAAAGAGACAAAAATACATATATTCCAATGTGTGAAAGTGAATCCAAGCTGCACAGGACCAGAGCTGTGTGTTCCTGTGAGAATAGCCCCGGAGGGATTAACAGAGAGGAGGTCTTGTTTAGAGAGAGCAAAGATTAAGATAAGGTTTCTGGTACACTTACCAGGGTTTCATTTCATCCTCACATCCAGACAGTGCATTCAAACTGCCTTGCTAGCACTACACGTTTATGATCACTGCTCCTCTGGAAAGTTAGGTTCAGTTTTTAGTGGTTCTCATTAAGCCTGAGTATTGTCCCAAGACAGTCAGAGACATTAGCTGTGTAGATAATAGAACCATTCACTGCTGTGACCTGCTGAAGTTTAATCTTAGCACTCTTGTAAAATTCACCTAAATTCACCAAAAACGCCTATCCAAGGCATACCCAGAGGAAATTACAAGCTGTTCTTTCATTCTTCCATTTTTAGTACATGTACATGCATGGCCTCATTTGAAAGGTCACACTGACGTAGAGCTGCCCCCACACAGTCCACCTAACGTTAGGCGACCAGAAAGGTCATTAATCGGCATGATTTCACTGGGCGCTTAGTCGCAGAAAACAAACATGACACTCTATTGTCAACCTATATGGCTGGACTATGTGGGACTTTAATTTGAAAGGACAGACACAGGAAGTGTCCACGCTCAGCAGTCAGACAGGAGTCAGGTTAATTTCCAGGGCTGGTACCTGCGGTTATTCCACAGGCTAGTTAATAACATGTCGGGCAGGAAATCCAAAGTGTGGGATCATTTTGAGAAGGTGAAGGACGAACCCAAGGTGATATGTAAACTCATCTTCATTGGTCGACTACAAACATGACGTATCATCTGAAACATGGAAGTAGCTACATGCCCATTAGCCCACAGCGTCATTAACAGGCGGCTCGCTCAGTGTGTGACGTGCACTTGGAGATAAAATATAGGCTTATATTAATGAAGGTTCATTAGTACGGTTTTGTATTTCTCTGTAATGTAGCACAGTGTTAACAATGTTACTGATACTATTCTTTCTCACACCTTCAACTCAAACCACTGTGTTGCCCCGCCCAAAATATACAATTTAATAATTAATGTCGTAAACATGCGGGCGACTAGTCAAATAATGGCCCTACATGATGACTACTGGTCGGCTAGGAAAATTCTTACTCGAGGGCAGCCCTAAGTTCCAAGTTGGGAAATGCACTTGTGCCCATGCATGGCCAGATGAGAATATCTTTATCAATTTTATCTGAATGTACCGTTCAGTTATCCAGAGCAGCGCACTCTCAGAGTGGCAGAGCGCACTCTGGACACTCTGTCTGTGGAGACAGAGCAGCAGAGCGCCGAGCGGAGTGAATGTGAAGTGAAGTGTGCGATGCACATGTGAGCATTTTTGATGATGGCCTCCGTCCAGTCCTTTGGTCTTATCACATTTAACCATAGTTGTCTTTGTTTTTGTTGACGGGCAGTGGCGGCTGGTTTTGAGCCATGACTCCTTCTATTCTGGCTCCCAATAACACAACAAGACAAACACATTTTAACACTCCTATGGAGCCTACAGCCCTGTGGGGGAGGGTCAGGTTTTGCCTTCAGCTTATAAACTGACGTCATTGTGACATCGGCCATCAAAGGGTCTATAACGTTTTCTTTAGGAATAGATGTGTATGGCAATAGGCCTGTCTGGTTCTCAGTGCGTCATGTGACCAAGATGGTGCTCCTGGAGGCTTGGACCTTTCTCTGTACTGATCCACAGATGAAGCTGATTACTACGTTCTCTGACTGAGGAGAGGACAGCAAACATGCATAATGGTTTTTACTCAAACTGTCAAAGCATACCTTTAACTCTGATGTCATAGACTCAAAACACGTGTATGACGTACATGTACACAGAGAAAGAGTACAGCAGAGCCTTGTACCACAGCACACAGGCCTATCAGAGGTTGGGATCACAATAGTGTGTTGGCCTCAAGTAATAAATTAGATATTGTGCAATGTTCTGATTTTTAAATGCTTATTAGAAACAGATTGTGTTACAGCAGAACAGTCAGGCATCCTGATGTACCTTTTATTAGATCCCCTCAACATCATACTTACTGTAACTGTATATGACAACAATATTATTTATTTTATTTACAGTGTGTATGGGCGTGTTTCATTTTTACACCATACCGGAATAATGAGAATGGTAATAAGAATTTCTATTATGTGTTATTGCTCATAAATTCAAACCAGATCTCCTCTGGACTTACTGGAATGATGGCTCCACATACGCCAACAGGTTCGTGTTTGGTTAAACACACAAAGTTTTCATCTGTAAAAGAGAGAGAGAAGAAACAGTACGATCAGTTGATCCACTTTACTCTAGGTGGGGGGGTTTATTCAAGCACTGCCAATACTACTTTTTAAAAATTCTGTTATTGCTTCAAGGTACACTTAAATTTCAAGGCAACTGGAGGTCAAGTAGTTGTTTGCACAAGTAAGATTGTTCAGTTAGTTTCAAAGTTAAAACATGAAGTTCAACCATCTGCTTTCACATAACTGACGTCTCATGCTGAGAGAGAAATATGATGTGAGATGTTTGAAAACATCAAACTTCAACACCAGTTGTGTCTTCTGTTAAAGGTCCAGTGTGTTGGGTTTAGAAGGATATATTGGTAGAAATGGAATATATAATAATGAGTATAATTTCTTTAGTGTATGATCACCTGAAAATAAGAATTGTTATCATTATGTTTTATCTTAGAATGAGCCGTTTATATCTACATAGTGAGCAGGTCCTCGTCCATGGAGCTGGCCATGTTGCACCACTATGTTTCTACAGGAGCCCAGAACAGACAAACCAAACACTGGCTCTGGATAGGGCCATTTGCATCTGCCGACTTAGTTAGCAGCCCCTCCGCAAAGAGCAGTGTCAGAGAAACAGATTTTTTTGACATGAAACTGTTTTATTCAGTATTTTTACTGATTTAAATCACCAGGGGTTTCATTCATAAAACAATCAATAGGATCCATACTACAGAAAAAAGCCAAAAAAGGTATGTGCCAAAATATAGTTCATAACTTTAACAATCAGGCTCCCACCTCACCATCTGTGTTGCCAATAACCCGTCCCCAAAATGTTCATGAGCATGGGTCAAAGTTTCTCCCATCACCTTTTGCATGGGTAGCAGCGTACGCCTCTTTTAGGCCTTGTTTTGTGCGTACGCAGTGTTTATAAATGAGACCCCAGGTCTATTTGTTTGAGACCTCTGCGGATACTTCAGCTCCCGGTTAAAACCTCCTGAATGTCTGGATTAAAAACAAAGTGAGCACACGTTACTGAGCAGGTGCTGGGTTAGTGGCCCAGCTGCAACGTGCCACTGATATCGTATCGTCAAACAGTGCCAAGTGTAGATTTATTTTATTATATAAATTATTAATATTACAAATACAAATTAAACTTTGGGTAGCCTACTGTAGATGCATTTTGCTGCTGCAAAAAATGGCTGAAGTGAGGTGAACAGACTGAAATCTTACTTTAAAACTCACAGACTTTATCTTATTAGATAAAACAAAGTTTGTGGTGACAAAGTTTTCCTTTGAGGACACGATTTACAGTTGAAAAAAAGTAATAAATTGTTATATATTTTATTCAAAACAACAACTATGCCGCATTAATCCTAACCCACATCAACGTCATGTTTCAGTTTCCCTTACATTGTGCTCTTTAACTTTCTAATTCAAAGTGCAACACTTCTATTGTACTGTTAAGCCGTTTATACATCAATCCTTTAACAATGTCCCACCAGCACTAACAATGAGATCAACACTCCTACAGTTGTACTCTACATGGATGTGTCAGCAGATAACTGGTCAAACCTGGTCTCCCAGTCTGCACGCTGACCTTCTCCAGTTTCCCGTGTAACTGATCGCAGACTGGGAGACTCCCATCTCCAGCTGCCTTTATATTTGAGTCACTGGCTGAGTTCATGTTCAATCACAGCTAACTGAAGGTTAAATGCATCAAAGTCAGTGGGGAACGTCCTCATACGTCTTGGGGGAAGCGGCTGTCAGTGTGTAACACAAGATTCAAACGGACAGCCTGAGGGCGACTGTGGCTCTGAGAGGCTAACACCAAACTGACGGAGAGAATATCCTACTGTTCTGATGGACTTTAAATACACAGGGGTTAAAGAAGTATTTAGATCTCTTAAGGTACTTAAATCATTACAATATAATTCCTTTTTTTTATTAGTGTGATCTTTAGAAAAGTAGAAGAAGTCATTAGGTGTGTGTTATGTTGCTGCAACCCGTTCTTATTCCCAGTTTGTCAAATACTGAAGCTTTGTCACGCCCCTTGGCGACACACAGGGCACCCTTTAGGGTCTCTCTGTGATGCGCAGCTGAAGTTATGATGTTCGGATTTTCTCTTTCTTTATATGTACATCGGCAGAGGTCTCTTCCTCTCCAAAAACAAACAATTTAAAGCAGTGAAAACACTGAATAAAACAGTGTCATGTTAGAAAAATTAATGTCTCTGGGATGCAGTGAGGCTCGTCAGAGTTCAGCCACCAGACATTGACAATCATAAATTGACGGGTCCATGTCATTGGTTCGACAGCCCATTGGTTCAACATCCCATTAGTCCGACTGTCCGCGGTGCTGAACAGCTCGCAGCGGGCGTATGGTGCGCCGCGACCAGCTTGAGGCGGAGCAGGCTCACGGCTTATGTGTTTGCCACTTTCTTTTTCATTTTAACCCACACCATGATCTTTTCCTGACCCTAACCAAGTGGTTTTTGTGCCTAAACCTAACCAGACCTTAACCACAGGGCATCATGATGATTTTGTAACAGACTTCGGAACAATGAGTTTAATATGGTCGGAACAATGGGATGTCGGACCAATGGGCAGTTCCCAAATTAACTTCCAGTCAAATCTATGGCACAAACTTTCAGGAGATTTTTACCAGAGCCAATTATCCTCAGAGGTCTCTTCCTCTCTAAAACAAAGTGACCTGGTGATTTAAACCAGTATACACACTCATTACAGAGGGGCTTCTAACTACTGACAGAAAAAACCCAGACAGCGGGTGGCCCTATCAGAGCTTGTGTTTGATTTGTCCATTCTACGGAAACATGGCGGTGCAACATGTTGTACTATGTGGAGGCAGACCTGCTACCTATGTAGATATAAACAGCTCATTCTAGGGTTACAGAAACACAACAATTCTTATTTTCAGGTGATCATACATCTGCCAGTATATCCCCCTAAATCCTAAACACTGGACCTGTCAGCAGCCTTGGGAAACTAACTTGAGAAATCTCTAAGTTAGGATGGTTTTGTAACAGCTGAATTCCTATCCTAGGATAAGATAAGATTCTTTCCTAAATGAAGAAGGGAAACATGTTTCTGTAATACCAAAAATCCTGAATGTCATCCCAAACTGAGATAAGATAAGATTTAAAACTTAAATTTCTGTAACGAGGCCTCCTGCATCTTTGCTTGGTTTTTAACTCTTGGACTTTCTATTTATGTAATTTAATGTCCTGATTTTCATCATGTCAGATAAAGTAAACTCTCCTGGTGTATTCCTCATGATGACGCGGCTGATCTTTGAAGGTGAGCTGTCTCCCTACACACACAAACATCATGCAGCTGGGCCGACCTGGGAAAGTCAAGAAGCTAAGTCAAATTTGTCATTTTCAGTCAAATAAAAACTGAAAGCAGCCGAGCAAACACTTATTATGTCTGCAGTGCCACTCAGATAATTCCGATGCTGGGAATGAATGAAATGAAAAGTGAAAATGTTTGTTATCTATCATTGGCAGCGTCTAGGAATGCAGGTACTTTTGGTTTCGTTTGTGTGTTTCTTTCTCTCTCTGAGTTATTTACAACGGTGCTGACTGGAAATGAGCTGTTACATGTGACTGTATTCAGGCTCTTACTTTAAACTTACAAGAGAGAAACTTGTCCAGCATCTTGAATTATCAGTGAGTTGTCCCGACTTATCCAGAAAACATGGCTTCATCTGCATCCAATGAAAGTAGCAGTCCATACAGTAGCTCCACCACTGAATCATGTTTACAAAATTCCAGCCTCTATTCACAGCTCATGTGTGGCCTGCGACTGTTTTCTTATCAAACTACAACTCGGTTATGCGTCTCGTCTTGATGACTGGTCATGAAACTGTTCCAGTGTGACGGTGGGGATTACTGGCTGAGTGTCTGCCGGCTCGGCGAGGCGTTGAGCCAACACTGATTGTTAATCCTCACACACACTGTTGCACCTCACTGATTACTATCTCAGCCTCTTCCTCTTCCTTTTGTCCCGCCGTGCCTCACATCTCTCACCACTCTATTGGGATCTAATCGGGAGGAAAAGGCGAGCATGTTTTGTCTATGTGCTGTCCCGCAGAGGCAGAGGGGACGCAAAGTAGGATCTGACAGGAGGGGGAAGTATTAAGAGGCTGGATGAGATACCACCCAGGGCTGAGGACAATCCTGAGTCAGGACAAGTCACTTGCACTTTGGGTCATTAACTTGTTTCCTAACGGTGCGCTGGTCACAGAGCGACTGATGAGGCATAAAAATAAGTTCCCCATGTGTCTAGTGCACACTGGAAACTCATCCATGGCCCCTATTAATTATCTTGTGCACACTTTTAATTGTTTTTATTTATTTATTGATGTATACTCATTTAACATTGTTTTATATGGAGCTCATAAAGGAAACGAAAAGAAAAAACTGATGCACTTACATGTATGAGTGCAACCCAATCGCCAGAAAAAACATTGTACTTTTCTGCAAACCACAGATACATTAAATTTACACATGGAATCTTAATGTTTTTTCATGTTTCAGAAATTATGTGGTTAACGAGTGGTTAGGTTTAGGCACCAAAAAAAAAAACACTTGGCAATGGTTAGGAAAACATCACGTTTTGGCTTAAAATACCCACTTTTGGTGGCACAATGCCAGCTGGACATGCAGCGATGTCTTGACAAAAAACAACCGCTTTTCATGACACTATCATGACAGAAAGGGCAGTGATGTCTTGACAAAGACAGACGCTTTTTATGGCACTTTCCCGACAGAAAAAGCAGTGATGTCTCTGTAAACTTTTGGTGGCACTATCCCAACTGGAAACGAATCAATGTCTTGGTAAAAAAAACTATCACGTTTAATGGTACTTTCCCGGCAGGAAAAGCAGTGACGTTTTGGCTAAAAAAACAACCTCTATCATGGCAAGTGCAGCGATGACAAAAAAACCCAACAACTTTTGATGTCGCTATCCTGACTGGAAACGCTGTGCTGTCTTGGGAAAATGCAACTGCTTTTCATGGCACTATCCCAACAGAAAAAGCAGTGACGTCTCTGTAATAGCAACAACATTTGGTGGCACTATCCCAACTGGAAACACGTCGATGGTAAAAAACAATCACTTTTTATGGCACTTTCCCGGCAGGAAAAGCAGTGATGTTTTGGTACAAAAAAAACAACCTCTTTTTGTGGCACTGTCATGGCAGGAAGTGCAGCGATGACAAAAACACAACAACTTTTGATGTCACCATCCTGACTGGAAACGCTGTGATGTCTTGGTAAAACACAACTGCTTTTTGTGGCAGTATCATGGCAGGAAGTACAGTTATGTCTCGACAAAAAACAACTGCTTTTTGTGGCACTTTCCCAGCTGGAAATGCTGCACTATCTCAAGAAAATAAAACAAATGCTTTTCATGGCACTTTTTGTGGAGAAAAAAAACAGCATCAGATTAATATAAACACCACATTTGGTGCCTAAAAAATGCTTGTAAAACAGTGTCTGATTTCTAAATCACAACCTCCACCTCCAGATGACAAAGTCAGCTCATATACTACATCACTTTAAAAAAGTTAATATGAAATGTACAAATGTAATGTATTCGTGGTTTGCAGAAACATACAATGGCAACATTTCCTTCAAGTCTATTTTCCTCATATTTACAGTGATTGTGTACTGAACTCTGAGTGCTGCCAAAATGCAGGTGACCAACACAGCAATAGTCTTTAGGTGTTTGGTGTTGCTGTGTGGTTGTCTTTGTTGTCTGTTTGTGTATTTCATGGAGCACCTCAAGTCCCAAAAGGTTATATATTTTTATTCAGTGTGCACAGGTTATCTTCTTATGTGTACAAGATAATTAACTTGTGTGCACAAAATAAATAAATTCCCTTTTGGGGAATTATTGGGCTCTGCAGTATTGTTTTTAATAATGGCTGCATGTAGAAGTTTTTTCCCTCCTTATTATCACATTGTTCAAACCCTCACTGACACCACACACACAGACCTTTGTTGGCCATGATGGTTTCCTATGTTGAACTCCTGACTGTTAGAATAAGATGACACACACACTCACCTACAGGCAGACTCTTTCCATGGATCTTGTCGGTCCAGCCTGCGTAGTAACGAAGCGTTTTGATGCTGCCGTCCAGGTCAATGAAGAAGGACTGCAGGAAAGGCTTCCCTGTGTCCAGAGTCTCCAGCGTCTGAACAATCAGGAAAAATAGCATCACTGTCCAACTGTGTCGTACATTTGGCTGAAATCTTGGCAAAGTTGTAACTGCTCTAAAGAAATGTGATTTGTCACTGTAACTTCAAATGACGCAAGAAAACAGACCAATTATGTATTTATAGTACAAGTATATTTAATGAGTTTTCAGAACATTTTCAACCATGTTTGTAGCAACTAAACAGGGTATTCTTAACAAGAACTCAGGACGGGTCCAGCTGTGTTTGTGGCAACAAACTGGGTATTTTAAGCCAAAACATGATCTTTTCCTAACCCTTACCTTGTTGTTTTTGTACTTAAACCTAACCAGTTTAATCACAGCATTGTCACAAAATAAAATTCAAATATTAAGTTCCATCATATCCACAACACATGAAATGTGTAAATGTTACATATCCATGGTTTGCAGAAACATACAATGGCAACATTTACACTGGAGCTTGGGTTGGTTGATCCCACTTTAAGATCGACTTTCTGCTTCCACTATGTCCTCCTGTTCTTTATCTGAACACAGTTTTCCAGTGAAATGAGGGATGATTTGCATCATTTCACCCAATTTCTGTTTAACCTCCAAATAAAGTGATTTGGAGAATCTGGATACACCTTGTTTGTATAATTACTTGGCAACGGCAACGTTATCATAACTGATTAAATTGTTGTACACCACCGACCACCGTTCATAATCCATTTATAAATATTTATAATCCCTTTTAACTTGCAGGCATCTTCCTACATAGTGCAGGTTGCCCAGAAATGTTCTGCCAGCTACAAACTGTTTTATTTGTGTTGTATAATGAGGGTCAGAATTCAGCACTGGTACCCAGTGGTTCCTGTTTATGGTACTTGACCCTCTCTGTAATAAAAAAAAAAAACAATTTCAGTTGCAAAAACTAAACGCAAGCTTCTCAGTATAAACATTGTTATTCATTTAAAGGTGTTAAAAATCACTGACTCTGGCATCATAAGTGATAAAGCACCATTCCGAAGTAAGTTATCAGTAACGTACAGAAACATTGTGCTGCTATAATGCCGGTGGTGTAGTGGAGGGTTTACGCAAGTATACAGGTTATGCCTACCTATTAGCCAAAAAGCCACTGGAATATATAGATGAGTGTATCCACTTCCTCCTTGGTAACCTACCCATCTACCTGGTGGTTCATCAACAACCACTACACAACTGTTAGGTCAGGTTTGGGTGGTTGATTAAGACATATTTTGGCAGGTTGGGCAGTGTGGATTGGCTCTCGCAATGAGCCAGGTTGGTGCGGGTATTAAAAATCTCTGACTCACACATCACCACTATCCAGTTTTGCAGTTTGCATTACAAATATTACAGCAAGTTTTGTCTGTGGTAAGTTTGAGAAAGTGTAACGTGTGTCGCTTTTGGTCCGCTATTGCCCTGACTCACTTTAACTTGAAAAAGCTGCAGGGGTGACGTTTTCTCACTCTCTCTTTTGCTGTATATTTAAGGGCCTGTCCCATTTCTACTCCTTAAATCTTCCACTTGGTATTGAGTCCTCGTTTGTGAGATAACCTTTGATGAGGGAAGTGAGAAATATTAGGGTAGAGATCTTTCCCTAAGAAATGGGACACCGCTTCATGCAAATCAGTGTGGCCGACGTGCAGGCATAGGTCACACATAGTAGCGACGCAATGAAAATGCCGGCTCCAGCGTTTGTGTTGTGGCGTGTGCTATGTTTATTCTTCTCTGTATGATGGATCAACAGAGGAGAAATGCTGAAAACAGGAGGCGCCTACGACGTCTTCTAGTTCTGATCGATTTTGTTCGGGTAAGTCGATTTGTTTAAATATTTTGACGCTGTTCTCAACGGAGTTGCTGATGAGTTTACGCTAGTCCAACCATCTGTTGTTTGTATAGCCTACATTCCGATCGCACAGTAACAAATTGTTTCCCAAAACTTGCCAAAGTTGCTGACTTTGCAAGGTGTTCTGGGAAATTTCATCTTCAACTTCGTTGAAAGTGTGGGTCAGGGCTCCCGTGGAATCTAGGGCGGGTTTTAAGTGTTGGAAACCAGTTCCACTACCTCAATTCTGTTTTGGGACACCACTAGTCTAAACATGAACACGCACAACCAAGTGCAAGTGGGTATTTCTAGGGGAAGTGTGGGTATTGGGACAGGCAGTGCTACAGCAAGTACCCTCTGCCTTAACATTTTAGGTACTAGATACTCAAACGGTAGATTGATTACACTGGAAGGTTAGTGTAAGGAGGTGATGGGATTGTTACCTGGAAACATTAAAAAGGCGCAGCAAGCGTTTTTTTTTACAAGTGGCATTCAACTTTGCCTTGTGTTTTGCAACCTGCAAAATGCTGTCTGTGTGATCGTGGCCTTAAAAGACACAAAACCTCCAAAAGGTCTGAGTGTCTTGCTCCTGTGTGGAAGAGGAGGTGGGGCCCTTTGCATGTGCCCAGAGACCCCTTCTCTCATAATCTGCCCATGGGTGGTGCCGATGTAATGCAGTTGGTACCCTTAAAAGTACCAAGTTCATTACCCCACTTAATGTTTAATATACCAGCAATTTAATACACAATAATAATTATTATAATATTACTGTAGTAGTGGTGAATTAATCTAGGGGGACAAAGACAGCGAGTGCATTAGACTGAAATATGTGGAGGGGTGCTGCAGTGGGACGTCAAACGGTGTACAGTGACTTGATAAAGACATGGCTTTGAGCCAAACGTGTAAAACTGAGTGTATAATCGATTACGTTAATGCTTAATAATGATCATGTATGAATCTGTCAGACATGATTAACATGGTATGACGTACCAACATCTACACAGAGTTTACTGGAGTTACTTGTGTTTGATTTTAAAAGGGAAAAGAAGAAGACATGGGGCTCTGCAGCTCAAGCGGATCCTGAAACCACAGTACCACTCTACTGTACCTTTAAATGGTCTGAATCTGGTCTTTATTTCCCCAAACATAGCTGGGAATTTAGTGTAATTAGCCATACCCTGCACACTACCACTCCAGAGCATGTTTGCAATTAGCAGTCACATGCAATCTGGTATTATTACTTCACTCACATCTGTAAGGGTTCATTTACAGATCTAAGTCTTAATGCAAGCTGGCAGCCAAACAGAGTGAACAGGCACAGCAACAGGGATTTCAGTCCAAACAATATCTGAAGGAGAGGCAGAGTAACATCCAGCAATCATTACGGAGAGAAAAAAGAGACCGGGGTGGGGTCACAGTGTGATGTCATGCAGTAATATACTGTAGGCCAGTCCCTGATATGAAGGAGTCAACATCGTGACAGCACATGGACATTTTTCAGCTGCAGGGAAATCCCACAAGTTTGTTGCTTATGAAACAGCACTTGCTTCCATAATTGAGATCTGTTGTTATGAATAATATCTGAGCCACAAGCAAAAAGAAACTGTTGTTCTTGTTCAGCTGAAACAGATTTGGAGCACGTAGTGTTAGTTAGCTGTGTGCTGGTCATTGAGGCGATATCTGTTTTTTACTGATCTGACACTGACTTAATGTGTAAACATGAAGGGAAAGAAAAGATTCAGCAAAGAGTAAATGTGTTGGTTAAGAGGTGGAGAGTGATTTAGCACATTTACTAAGATACTGCAAGTAACTACGTAGGCTACACTACTAATGTTCTTGTACTTTACTGGAGTATTTCCATTTTATGCTATGTACTCTCCTCTGAGAATCGCCACCTCAACATGGTGGAGGGGTTTGCGTGTCCCTGTGAACCTGGGAGCTGTGTTTTCGAGGCTAATAGTTGCTGGTAGGGTCTCTGAAGGTGAAGTGGTCCCAGAGGAGGAGCCAGTCTAAGAGCCGATTCAAGAAGACCCTGATGACACGGACTATTCAGACTTCGAGCACCTTGCCTGGAGCCAGACCTCAGGGGGAGATCGCCAGTGCATTGTGTGCCAGGTGGCAGGCAGGAGTGGCGTTCTGGACGTGCTGATCCCTGGTGTCGTGGATGCTATGTACTTTTTATCTAGTTACTCTAGTTACTAAACTTAATTGGCAGAATAAGATTTAAAAAATCCATAACAACCATAAAATATGATGCATTGTGATAGAGTAAAATAAACTACTCAGCAGTATATAAAAAACCTACAACCATTCCACCTAGAGCACATAGAACATCACAGTTTGAGCTGCAATGACTAAATGATTAGTTGTCAACTATTAAATCAATCGCCAACTAATTTGATAATAAATTAATCAGTTGTAATAATAAGTAAGTAAGAAATAATAAGTAATCTTTTATGGAAAAAGTCCAAATTCTTTGATGCCAGCTCTTAAAGGTGAATATTTTCTGGTTTCTTTCCTCCTCTATTACAGTATATATTTGTGCTGTGGACAACACAAGACATTTGAGGACGTCATCTTGGTTTTTTAGAAGCACTGATCGACATTTTTCACCATTTTCTGCCATTTTTCTGCCAAACAACATTTGATTAATCAGTTTGAGTAATTTTTAAGGAAAAGAAAGTCAAAATTTGCTAATTCTGGCTTCTTAAATGCGCATATCATCCAGTTTCTTCACTCTTTTATGACTGCATATCTTTGTGTTTTGGACAAAACAGGACATTTGAGGACATCATGTCGGGCTTTGGGACACACTGATCGACATTTTTCACCATTTTCTGCCATTTTGTAGACCAAGCAACATTTGATTAATCAGTGAGTAATTTTTAAGGGGGAAAAAAAGTCCAAATTCTTTGATTCCAGCTTGTTAAATGTGAATATTATCTGGTTTCTTTACTCCTCTGTGACAGCTGACTAAATATCTCTGGGCTGTGGACAAAACAAGACATTTGAGGACGTCATGTCGGGCTTTGAGAAACACATATCCACATTTTTCACCATTTTCTGACATTGAATTGACCAATCAACTTATAGATTAATAGAGAAAATGATCAGCAGATTAATCAACAATGAAAATACTTAGTTGCAGCCCTAAGTATAATGATGACAGGTAATGCATCAATAATAATAATCAAAAAATATAATATTTATGGCCACTCTGCTGCAAAATGAGCAGATACTTTTCAACCTTTAAGTACATTTAATTTACTTAAATATAGAATTCAAATACTTTTGAAATCAGTGAGCATGTTATCTTTCTGTAGTCAGCCTCAGAGTGATTAACAGTAATGTTTTCACTATAATCAATTCATAATATTGTTTCATGTATCCTGTAATATTGTTAGATTCTCTTGATAATATGATTTGATGTTAACTGAATGTCTCCATCGCTCCCTGATTACTTTTAATTAAGTTAATTTTCTTATAGATGATTCAGCTGAACAACAGGATGACACACTTAGTAACGCATATTCAGTTTTAATTAAAATCCATCTGCAATTCTTCAGCTGTGTAGGTCCATCGTAGTTTCAAAGAGAAACCAAGCAATACTTTAAATGTGAAAGTGAAATGGTCGCAGTGTGTGCGTCAGAACTATTCAGAACAGTCACGTCGTTAACAGCAGCAGTCTGCAGGAAACATGACGTCACTTTAGCCCAACATAAAGAGAAGTAGTGTGAATGAACCCACCGCCAGCAGGACCCGGTCCCTCTCCATCAGGTCAGCCAGCTTGTGCAGCAGCCTCCCGCGGCTGGACGCGTCCATCCTCCGCCACGGAGAGCCTCTCTGCCCGGCCGCCTTGGCTGCCTGCACCGCTTTATCCACATCTTCCTGCACAGAGACATAAGCAGAGTAATGCAGAGTAATGCAGGGCGATGTCACGACACAAAGGGTCTGCTGTACTGTAAAAACAACGGGCTGTGCGCACAACACATAGCCTACCTACAGACTGACTTTAATTTTCAGGGCCAGGTTCCAATAAGTAATTACATTTACTTCCCACTTTACTTTCATTTATTAAACGGTAAAAAGAGGTGTATAACTGCATTGCCAAAGCTATTTTGTGGATATAAAACGCTAAAGTGTAGATTAATTATATACCGAATTTTCTAAAATGTTCTTATCTATTTGATCAGGCTCTGATGTCATGCTGGATTTTATAGGTATTCTTCTGACAAAGCCAAAAAACTTAAATTATCAGATATTGAAATGTAGTTTGGCAAAAAGATTCTCCCCGTTGATTCAGAGCCAAAGGAGCTGCACTGCATTAGGCAAAAGTTCGTAAGCCATTTGATTGGGTTGTAAAGTCATGCTGAATTTCAAAGACAATCTTCTGACAAACTCCAAAAACCTTAAATTAACAGATATTTGAATGAAGTTTGGCATGGCAGATATACCATGTTTGGCAAAAGGTTCTTAACTATTTGATCAAGCTCTTATGTCACGCTTGATTTGAGAGACATTCCTGTGACAAACCCCAAAACCTTAAATAAACAGATATATAAATTAAATTTGGCAAAGAGTTTTCCCCATTGATTCAGAGCCAAAGCAGATATACAGAATTAGGCAAAAGTTCTTATCTATTTGATCAAGTTGTAATGTCATGCTGAATTTCAAAGATATTCCTCTGACAAACCCAAAAATCTTAAATTAACAGATATTTAAATGGAGTTTGGTATAAAGGTTTCCCCCATTGATGTAGAGCCAAAGCAGATACACAGAATTTGGCAAAAGGTTCTTATCTATTTGACCATGTTCTCATGTCAGGCTTGATTTTAGAGACATTCTTCTGGCAAACCCAAAAACATTAAATTAGCAGATATTTAAATGGAGTTTGGCATAAAGATGTTTCCTACTGATTTAGAGCCAAAGCAGTTGTAAAGAATTTGGCAAAACATTCTTATCTATTCAGTCAAGTTGTAATGTCATGTTGGATTTTAAAGGTATTCCTCGGACAAACCCAAAAAACAAATCTGGCAAAATGTTGGTTAGTTAAATCTTTTTAACCAACTTCTTATGTCAAGCTTGATTTCAGAGACATTTTTCTGACAAACTCAAAAATCTTAACAGATGTTGGAATGAAGTTTGGCAAAAAGACTTTTTGCTATTGATTTGGAGCAAAAACAGAAAACCAATGTTCATATAAGGTCCTTATCGTTCAGTGGTACAGTACATAGGCCTACACTAAGTTCAATTAATTATCATTATTATGTTATGTAATAAAATAAAGGCTGTAAGTGATGCATTCTTACTTTGTCTGCTTCTTCCACTTCACAGATTTTGACACCTGTTGCTGGGTTGAAAGTTGGAAACGTCCTTCCACTGCTGGATGTGTGCCATTCATTGTCAATAAAAATCTGTGGAAAGCAGAGTGTTTGCTTTGGTTTGTGCCTCAACTGACAATTTATTCAAAGTTAAAAAACACAGTGAGCATAAAAGCTTCCAACCCCACCTGCAGCAGCTGGTTTCTATGCAGAGCCTCCTTACCTTGGTGTGTCTGATCTCCTGGACTTTGACAGGCTGAGGAAAAGGCAAAGCTGGGATCCCTTCGGCCACTCCGTTCTCTGTCGTTCCGTTCTGTGCCATTCTGGGTCAGCAGTACAGTCCAGGGCCAGTCTGTCTGCTGCGACTACTCAACACTGCCGGCCCATCCTCTGGCTTTTTATAAGAATGTGAAGTTCCTCCCTCCGCACACAGCAGCTGAAGAGAGCCCAACTCCGCCCCTCCACTCACCAGTGAAGGGCCCTTATCTGAGGGGATTCTTGTTCTTACAGCACCTTGGAAACATCCTGCAACATGTATCCTATTTATTACTAATGCTGTGTGAATGGTGTGGGGGAAGATGGCGGCCAAACGGCACGCCTACCTGCTGTTCTTATTTTCATAAGCAATGCGTTGGGGAAGCAGCGAGCATTTCCAGTCATGATGAAGGTGGATACATGCTGTCCAGTTTTATTTTCAGCGTGCATTAGCTGTGTGTGTGAGCAAAGGGAGAGTCAAGAGTAAGAATTTCACACCTGAATTATTTGGCTGTGTCTCTCAGTAAAGGGAATGAAAGTAATGAGACTGAATTCATTCTGCTGCACAATATTTACATTGCAACACAGCAGCTTTGATCTGCTTCTGTCGGCCTATCTGGAGCGACTGCAGGCTGTTCGTCAACCGTGCAAAGGTGTTATGAGTTGTGATGTTCCTCGCAAAGTTGGTTTTTGCACCTGGGCCTGGTGAAGTTGAATGGAGTTGAACACATGCAAACAAATGCTTTTGTTCTTGAGGACAAAGCTGCTTGCTTGCTCCGGGCTTGCACTCATACACAGTCTGCTATTGTTTCCCCTTCATCGCTTCTTGTCACTCTTTATGTCAAAGTTTAATTAGGACAACGGGCTTTCGCAGGCTCATTTCTCACTTCAGCAACTTTCTAACACTTCATAATGAGCGAGAGAGACTCAAAGGGATTGCACGAAGGGGAGGAAGGGGGGGAGGGGGGCTTGGCAGGATGGTGGAGTCGGGAAACAATATGAGATGCAAAGCATGGGCCCAGACCCATGCAAATAAGCAGGAACCTGCACTGGAGGGGATGAGTCGATTGCTCAAACAGTTTGAGGGATTAACAGCGAGTGAAAGATCAGCACGGCAACCAGAAATATTCTTCGGTTGAGGAACAAGTATTTATAGAACATCTAAAAGCAACTGTAGCTTTTATCAAATGTTACTCAGACAGGAGGAAATGGTGCGACGGCCTGTTGGGACTGATTATGTTGTGTTTTCTAAAATTCTGTGAAATGTTTGTGTGTTTTCTGAGATGTGTTTCTTTAAATGTTGTGTTCTGTGAAATGTAGTGTTTTGTCAAATGTTATGTTTTCTTAAATGCTGTAGTGTTTTCTTAAACATAGTGTTTTCCGAAATGTAGTGTTTGGTGACTTGTTTTTGTTTGTTGAAATGTTGTTTTCTTACATGTTGTAGTTGTTTTGTTAAATGTTTTTGTGTTTTGTTAAAACAGTACACACACTAATCCACATGTTGTGTTTCTTCTGGCAGCAGGACGGTGTGTGTGGGACTGTGTCAAAATAAACTACAGTGTGTGTGTGTTCATGATAATGAAGGGACGTGTCATCCAGTGCATTGGTGAGTGTTTTTAACAAAAACAGAAGCTCTATGGTGCAGAGGAAGAAGATATTTCAGGCTCTGATACACACTAGGGATGTGAACAGTTAACCATTAATCAGTTACCCGCCAACAACAGTCTTGACCGGTTACACATGTCGGTCTGTGGGTGAATTCTGCTGCTCCTCAGTTTGTTGCACTGCGCAGCACCTGGATCTGGTAGAGGACAGACAGTTAGCCGCCTTAACAAAGATACTCTGCAACAAACACTTTCCCCCTCCAAAAACAACTAAATAGTCACAATAATGGTATTATTAGGCAATGAAATACAAGTTTTATTTTTATTTTAGCTTTTGATTAATGACTTTACGCACAAGTCTATTTAAACTTCTGTTTATCCAGCTGTACGGTAACATCAGCAGCACTGCAGTGAAACTGGAGAGACGGTTGAGCACCAACAGAGAGAAGAGATTTCTGCATTGCCAGATCTCATGAGAGGGGGTTACAGAGACAGGTGTCAAACAAAGTTAATTTCTCCTGATTCGTCATTCTGAAAAATGCCATTTTTGTGTAAGAATGTTGGGACGATATGTGGCTTGTGAAAACTGGGTCCAATCTTTACTTCAGTGACTTTATCAAGAAAGACTTGGTTATAATCTTTACTTAAGTTCACCTTTCCCATTGGATTAAATAGTGGCACAGATACAGGAAATGAAACTAAAGTGGGTTTATCAGGGGTCTCTGGCATTAACATGTGCGATCATAGTGCTCACTGCCCGCCCTCTGGTCTCTATGGATTAGCTAGCCTTAGCTGCTCTGCACTGTGCAGAGGGGGCAGAGGGTATTTTGTGTGTGTGTGTGTAAATCTGTTTTGAAAGGTACTATATAAATCAAGTTGTTATTACTATTATCAATGTTATATAATTAATAAAAGTCATTTAAAAAAGAATGCATAAATGATTCAAATGACGTTTGAAGTTTAAATGTAATAACGCATTACCTAATTTAATACAGGTGTTTTTATTTCGAATGCTGTTTGAGATTTTGAGCCCAAAATTAGGAGTCAGACATTTAGAGTCAAAAGTTTTCACATTGAATCTACAGTACTTTTTTTTTAGCTTTTCTGAAACCTACAAGGAACAGAAGGTTGTTACTTCAGTGGACAAGATGTGAAGAGTGGAGATCTGCTGTCTGACACTGCAGCACAAATCAAATCTTTTACTGAAGCAAATCTTTGCAAATTCCACCTCTGTAGATCTGATGACATCGGTCATCGAGGACACAGTCACAGGTGGAGACAGGTGCGTGATCTCTCTGTGATCATGAATCTCTACTGTATAATATTCAGTCCTGCAGCTGACTGAGCGTTAGCGGAGAGTCCTGTCGTGGGAAAGTGGAGCCTCTCCGTCCAGGCTTGGCTGCTCGGGCTAATTGGTGCTGCACACCTTTTAATGAAGGTCAAGTCTGCTCCCATCAGCAGGCTTCATGGCCAATTAGAATCTCTCCACAGATAGCTAATTGCAGTGTTATGTCTTTTGCTGAGAGCTTGTTATAGGTTAAATAAAATGTTACAGAAAAGACGCAGGGTCAGTTATCTCTCATTTCAGCTCCAATTCTCAATTTAGGAGGATGTACTGAAACCTGAGATAAAATAAATGGAAACTGAAGTGAGCTGTGTGCAAGCTGTGGTCGTAGCAGCAAATGAATACAGCACATTGAAGCAAATACAGGGTATTGTCAAAAAAAGTGCATGAGTGAAGAAACAGACCAAATCACAGTTTGTTTACAAATAACTTGTGGGTAGAAAACCCTCGTGTCATGTACGTAAAATGAAACAGAGCTGAGCAAACGCTGCCTTGGTTAGTTTTTAGCTAGTTTAAAAAAAAAGGCCCACTTGAAAAAATCATTATCAGTCAATAAGTGTACTTTATATTTAGAATATTTTCACCGCTTTGCCTTGTCATCAGACAGCCTTTTCCAACACACAACTGAAGCCGTTATCTCAAAGCGACCTGACTCCACTGGCAAAAACAGTCATTTTACCTCGCAGAACGTGAGAGGTGCTGGTCCGCTGCTGCCTTTGATTGGTTAGTGTGTAAAACAAAGTGGTTAAAATATTCCAAATACAGTGCAGTGTTTGATGAACGACAGACGACAGGGGACTTCTGCTAGCTAGCTAGCTAACCAGCTAACATTATGAGGCAGCATAGTTATACTAGCTGGCGTGTTATCGTAACGTGAAAAGTCCGACAATTTTGCAGAACAGGACAGATGACAGACGCCAGATAGTGCGAGCTAGCTAGCTAGCTAACAAGCAACCTGACGACGGTAATGTTAGCAATGTATGAACTTTTTTCCCCGTCTCTTGCTCAGTGGTAGCCATGGCGACGTCTACCCCTCGCTGGCAAGTCAGCATCTGAAATCCTTCACTCTGAAGGGCTAGTTTCATACCCACTACCCCTCGTTATGCCCCCTACCCCTACACGCAAATAGGAATTGGGACACCCCTACCCCTCGTGGGAACGCGCAAATGTAGGGGTAGGGCTAAGGTAGGGCTAAGGGGGAGTATTGGGACAGGCCCTTAAACTTATACTAATATTAAGTGGCTCTTTTCAGGAGGCTAAAATGTGTTTTACTGTGGCATCAACCCACAACAGTACATTGCTTTGCTTCCATGGTAGATTTTGTTTCTCAAAGACGTTAGCAAAGCAACACAGTACATAACATAAGCATGGCAGAAACATCAGATAGGCTGGACCACCCTGTTATGTTACAGTTAGAGCTGAAAATGAAAAGTAAGAAGATGTAAAAAAAAGTTTGCCAATTTCACAGATCTCTGCAACTAAAATCAGTTGCAATTTTAAAAATTTTGCAATTGGCTGAATATTCAGGGAGTCTACAGGTCTCAGACAGTTAAAGTCAATGCTCTTTAAGACCCATTCAAGACACCGTTTAACCAAATTTAGGACAGATTATTGGACAAATCATGTTTTACTTATTTAAGTGAGTTAGGTTATTCTATTTTTGCCAACAGGTGCAAGTATTTAGTAAAAACACAGGATTATGTCCAGTGGTAGGTTTAAAGATTTGTAACATCAGAAAAGAATTTCATGAGAAAGACCATGACTCATTTTCACAAACAGGAACTAATAGATGGATAAATGAAATTAGATAAAAAATGGCAATTAAGACCTCACAAATTCAAATTTAAGACCATTTAATGACTTTTAAGGCCTGATATTTATATAATTGAATTTAAGACAAATTTTTTAAGGACCTGCAAGGACCTTGTAAATTAGTAGCTAAAGCAGATTGGACCCAAATGTGTCTCAGTACAATATTAAATGAATGAAAATGTTATATATATGAGGGAAATAATTAGTTATTCCTGGAACAAATGATTAATTCAAAGGAGACAAATTATCTGAGGATGCAAATTACTATACTGTGGGAATAAAGGCATAATGATGCTTCAGAGATGCTTCATTTTTTTTCAGAATGAATGAAAATGCCAACATTTAATTTGAAATACAGATTATTTTAGGATTAAAAGCTTGG